CTCCACACATCAACATCCCGGCCCCTATACCGCATCTGTCTCTTATACACATCTAGATGTGTATAAGAGACAGCTATTTTCTTTTCCACGTTTTTGGTCCACGTCCATGCCGAGTCTGATGTCCCACTTAGACAGATTAGGGGTCGCCGGCCGTTGATCTTTGTAGCCAACGGACAGAATCTCGAACTCCGTTTTTTTTCCTCTTTTCTTTTTTTTTTTGTAACTGATTGCATCTGGATTCGAGCTGGGGGCTGTATTTCAACACTTCCAAGGGTACACTAATTACGGAAAGGCCCCTTGGTACTTCACTTGTGTTCGTCCCGCCGCCCCTGAGCACAAGCGATAAAAACAGCATCCCAGACCAATGTGCCTACCGGTAGCTAGGGTCCTAGACCCTTTAACTGTTGAATTTCAGACAGCAACATTAAGAAAATAATAAATAAATAATAATAATAATAATAATAATACAAAAGCACTCCAGCCGCAGCACACCAACGGCAGCTACGGTTCGAATGGGACAGGGGAGGAACCTCTTTAAAATAAATACTCTCTATACGTGGGGAGCAGCACGTGCTGGGCACCGGGCCCAGCGTCCCTTGTAATTGGAATACATTGATGATTGATGAAGATTTGGGAACCTGAAGAAGAAGAAGAAGAAGCCTCAAGAAGGTAGTAGGTATGCAATGGCCAAATTGCCAAATTGCCAAATTGCCCCTTAAGAAGAAGAAGAAGAAGGAACGCAATGGCCAAATTGCTCTTCGCACGAAACAGAAAACTTCAATTTCACGCAAGCGTGTACACTGCTCAATTTGAGCCGCACGAATGGAGGAACCTGGCCCTAAAGGGCGACACCATGCGTAGCAGAAACAAGGAAGTAGAAATAAGTTTATCGAGAAGAAGCAGCTGAGTGAGGAAACCTTGAAGAGGAGAAGGTAAGGTACTGTGGCCACGCTCAAACTTGGGACTGTTCTACTTCTTTAGTGCCGGAATTGCGGCCGGATGCATCCACACGAGGCCGTAAATGCGGTCAGATAGATTAAAAAAAGTGTTAGTGTGAGGACACCCTGTATCGTAAGCAGTCCTGTGGGAATAACCATGAGCAGTGCGACATGCTGCAAGGGCCAAACACGGAGAGAAACGACCATACCACTGGCAAGGAACGACTCATTCTGGCTCAGAGTCTAATCCTCCCTCCCACAAGCAATGGAGACAGAAGGAAATTTAAACGATCGAAATTTGAAATACCTAAGATTACGTCCGCAAGAAAGACTTCCTTCTTCACCCGAATACAACATTCCGGTCATTACAGATGTACATGGCGCATCTTTCAGTCTAAGTACAGCAACACTTACCGTATTTTGTATTCGCGTGAAGACCTCCAGCCCATGTGACTTAACGGTACCGGACAGTCGCAGACACCCATGTAGTTATTCCAGTTGATAAGGAGACCTGAGTTCGAACCCTGATGAAATAAGAAGAATAAAAAAACACAAAAAATATGAACTAACGACCCACACCGGTCAATTTAAGGAAGATAACTCAAGAACGTCGTCGCCCTTCAAAGAGAGAGAGAGAGAGAGAGAGAGAGAGAGAGAGAGAGAGAGAGAGAGAGAGA